ATTTTTGAAAATTTTATACTTTTATACGGTCCAATGAAGACGTTCATTACGGACATGGGTACAGAGTACAAAAATTCTTTAATAACGGATATATGCAAATACTTAAAAATCAAAAATATAACATCAACAGCTCATCACCATCAAACACTCGGAACTGTAGAACGCAGTCACCGAACATTCAATGAATATGTACGTTCATACATATCAGTCGATAAAAACGTCTGGGATATATGGTTGAAATACTTCACATATTGTTTCAATACAACACCATCAGTGGTGCATGGATATTGTCCATACGAGCTTATTTATGGAAAAATTCCTAAATGTTTCAATAAATTCAATACAATTAGTAACATAAGTCCATTATATAATGTAGATGACTATAGTAAAGAAATTAAATATAGATTAGAAATAGCGCACACTAGAGCCAAAACACTTTTAGATAAGTCTAAATTAAAACAAAAGTTACTCTATGATAGAAATAGTGAACAATTAGAATTAAAAATAGGAGATAAAGTACTACTTAGGAATGAAGTAGGTCATAAGCTAGATAGTCAATACACGGGTCCCTATAGAATAGAAAGTATAGAAAACAATGGAAACATTGAAATAAGAAACAATAAAAATAAGAAACAATTAGTACATACTAATAGAATAAAATTGTACAATGAATAAGTTAAAATAAATGTAGTGATTACACAAATAAATATAACTAAACTAAATATAGTTATATAAAACTATTGAAAATTAAAAATTTATTTAAGAAAGTAAGAATAATCCCGTTATGGCATTATTCTTTCCCAAAAAGGAGGTGTAATGTATATGCGTTAGTTATATTGGCAATGCATACAATTAATATAATAATAAGTGGTTCTATATTTAAATGCGCAGTGTATACAAAAATACACTAATTGTTTCCAAGCGCATTGCATTGTTTACAAACAAATGCACAATTCCACACAAGGAATTTGACACCACACATATCGGCGGCACTTTGCCTTCGATATAACCATAGGCTTGCCAGGCATTGACCGCATATACAACAACATCAACAGTAAGCGTACTCGATACAAGTGGAATCGAATACGCTTACTTAGCAATAAATTATTAAATATTAAAGTACTTACGCTGCGTCGTTTTGTACATAAATATAAATACATATTAATATAAATAATATTAAATACATATATAATCATAAAATATTTAGTAAATAAGAAAGTACATACGCTGCGTCGTTATGTACCTAGGTTAAGTTGAAAGTGAAAAACTAAATAAAAATCAGAACTGGAAGTGCACTCAATAGAAGCGCACTAGGTTCCAAACCAAAAATCAACTTTCTTTGATTTAAAATAATTAAAAATTGATGTTAGTAAAAGGATCGCCAAATTATATCGGCGTTTAAAATATCCTTTGATAACTATACCATATTGAAAACTAACATCAGTAATTCACATATATTACAGTGGATAAAAAGAAAATGAAAACTTTTCTTTAAATTATATAAATTAAATATTATAAAATAATTAAAATTAATGGATAGATGATAAAATAAGTGAGTCAATTAAATAGACTGCTATGAATTTACTATGAATATATTAGTTAGATTATTATAGTTTTGCTAGTTCTAATGGAAATAAGCGTTTCAATCTTCTGTTGTGTGTGGCTTCGTCATTAGGTAGCTGCCTCATTGTTGGGTTAGGATGGAAAAGTAATCCGTCTGTGTGCTTTTTACTATTTTTTCGGATAACGTCTGCAACGAAGGGTATCTTTAAATCGCGATGAATCTCATAGTTTGAGATGTACCATTCAGCGTTGATGATAGTCCTAAGTATTTTTGATTGTAGTCTTTGCAGTATTTGGATGTTGGATTTACATGCTGTGCCCCATATTTCGGCTCCATATTTCCATATTGGAGCGATTACTGTTTTATATACTAGTAGTTTATTTTCCACTGTTAGTTTTGATTTCGAGCAGAGTAGCCAGTACAATTGTCCAAAGCGACGTTTAATTTCATTGCTTTTAGCTTTAATATGGTCTTTCCAAGTTAATCTGCTATCTATAGTAATGCCAAGGTAATTTGCCTTTGTGTGTCTGAAGACTTCGTCATTGTTAATTTTTATACGTTTTTGGTCATATTTTTTATTCGTGTAGATAACAGAACCCGTTTTGCTTGTATTTATTTGAACTCCCTATTTGTCGAACCATTCGAACGTTGCGTTTAGGTAATTCTGCAAGTTGTCTGTGGATATGTTAAAATTTTTATTAGCTGCAATTAGAGCTGTATCGTCTGCAAAAGTTGCTATCAAACTTTGAGGATCAGAAGGTATCGAGACATCAGCCGTGTATAGCGAGTAGAGTAATGGACCTAGTACGCTTCCTTGGGGCACACCAACTTTATACTTCACATAAAAGTATCTATTTTGTAGATAGCTCTTAAGTAGGAGGTAAAAGTTTGTTGGAAGAAGCTCTGATAGTTTAGTTAGTAGACCTCCATGCCAAACGCTGTCAAAAGCCTTTGCGACATCTAGATATACCGCCGAAGAAAATTGTTTTGTGTCAATATCACTAGTTATTTTATTAACAACTCTGTGAACTTGTTGTATAGTCGAATACTTTTTCCGAAAGCCGAATTGATGGTCAGGTATAAGTTTTTCTTTATGAAGAATCGGTTCTAGTCTTGATAAAATTATTTTTTCAAACAATTTTGACATAACTGGTAATAGGCTAATTGGTCTGTATGATTTTGTTACAGATATGTCCTTATTTGGTTTAGGTATAGTGATTACTTCTGCTACTTTCCAAATTTTTGGAAAATACTTAAGGCGAAAAGCGCAATTAAACAGATTTCTCATGTATACAAGTGCTTGAAGAGGCAGCTCAGTCAGAATCTTTCCTGTGATACTATCATATCCCGATGATTTTTTTTCTTTAATTTTATTTTTAATAGTATTCTTAATCTCTGTTATTGAAACTTTCTTTATTGCGACATTTTGAGTAGAGCTGCTTCGTGTAACGTTGCTGTCATGCTGTTTTGGGTTACTAAACGTAGTTTCGAAGTACGTGGCAAAAAGTTCAGCTTTTCCGATGTTAGTTCTAGCCCAAGTTCCATTTGCTTTCCTCAGTGGTGGTTGATGCATTACTGTGTTGTTGATATTTTTAGTAACTTTCCATAAAGAATAGTTAGTGGCTTTGTTAGCTGTCGAGTTCATTATGCGTTTTTGCAGGTTTTTATTTTGCTCATTAAGTAGCATAATTTTAAGTTCCTTGGTTAGTTTGTTTAAGTCCTTTTTTAGTTTAGGGGACCGATTTATTTGCCATTGTTTTCTCAGTTTTTTTCTGTCCATTATCTTGCTTTTAACTGCCATCGAGATTTTATTTTGAGTGTCGGTTTGTTTAAGAACTGGGGTAGAATTTGTCACGGCAACAGCGATCAATTCGTTTAAGTATACAATCGCGCTTTCGATTTCATCTTCAGATTTTAAGGGAATATTTATTGTCAGATCGGTATTAAGAATATCTCTAAACGTGTCCCAACATGTTTTATAATTATAGATTAATTTTGTCCTTGTGATGTTTAGTTTTGTATCGCTTTCATATGATAGCATAATTGGTGAGTGATCAGATGATAAGTCAGGAACTGTAAGAAATCTTTTATTTATATTTTTGGTCACGAAGAAGTCAATCACGTCCGGTATTTTGATCATATCGGTAGGCCAGTACGTAGGTTCACCTGTGCTTAGAATGTCTGCTTTTTTGTCAATGATAGCATTATGTAAATTTTTCCCTTTGCAGTTTGTAATTCTTGAGCCCCACAAAGTATTTTTTGCATTAAAGTCTCCACCAACAATGTACCAATTGCCGAGAGTGTTAAGGTAACTTAGGTATACATCCTTCGAGTTATTGTGCTTCGAAGGGCAGTAAATAGCTGATACTGTTAACTCGCCTTTTGTATCTTGAATGTGGACACTTGTAGCTTGTATTTGTTCTGTTTGGTATATATTGGCTATCGAGCATTGCATATTTTGCATAATAATTGTTGCTGTTCCACCATGGGCTTTGTTGTCAGGATGATTTGTATGATATATCGAATAGTTAGGGATTTTGAAGAAACTTTTGTCTGTGAAGTGTGTCTCTGATACCAGTAGTACATCAATGGAATTAATATTTAAGTATGTTCTCAGTTCTAGTAGTTGTTTGCTGAGACCGTTTGCATTCCAAGCTAAAATTTTTAATTTATTTTTGTCCATCGAGTTTGGTGATTAGGATGGTTAAAATATGTATAACGTTGGCAACTTGCGTCATAAGCTGTTTCATCATTTGCTGGAGTTCGGCAAATTCGGAGTTGTTTGATTCATTGTTTATTGGAATGGGTTGAGTTGGATGCGATTTTATTATTTCGGAGTATGTTTTAGCCGGTTGGATTTGTTGGGTGGTAGTTATTAGGTTCGTAACAGCTTTAGTTGGCAGAGATATTTCGTTATTTTGAGATGTGGTTTTTTGTTGTTTTGCGCGAAGAGCTGGGAATCGTTTGATTTGAAGAGTTTTATAAACTGTACAACCTTTGTAATTTGCAGTGTGATTCTCCTTACAGAGTGCGCATTTAACGACGTTGTTCTTACCTTTCATGGGACAGTCAATTGTTTTATGTCCTTCGGAGCATTTAACACAGATTGGACTTCTTGTACAAAAATTTTTTGTGTGTCCATATTTTTGACAGTTGGTACATTGTGGTATTGTTCTTTTTGGATGGGGAGGTTCAAAATTTATTTTGCAGTGCAGTAGGTCTTTGATATTGTAAATTTCCTTGTTATTTACATCTTGTTTAATTTCGATTGTAAATAGGTTTAATGGAAATTTTGTGCGCGGATGTAATACGTTTTTTATATTGCATACTTCATGTCTGGATTTTTATTTTGTAATACACGAATTTCATATTTAGATATTTGTAGTGCATCTAACGTTTTAATTAGGTTGTCTAGCAGCTGTACTTTTTGCACTTTTTAAATGGGTGGTGGTTTTTTATTTTTAGCCGTTTGATTTTGTGTTGTTTTGCTATCTTTAGGGGGTTCTTTATCATTATCAGTTGCTAAAACAGCAAAACTATTTGTAGCTAAGAAATACTCGTTTAATGTGTATTGTTTTTTGTTTTGTTTGTGCTTTTTGGCGCTTATTTCATTGATTTGCTTACCAGAGGAGCTACGAATTCTCTTATTCACTACTGGCGTGTTGAAGCCATTGTTTTTATTTGTGTTTGCATCTTCCGTTGTGTTTGCAGTTCTGGTGTTAATATCAGAGTTTTTCAAATTCTGAATGAGTTTTGATGGTGAATTGTGTTGATGATGCTTTGATTGTTGGAGTTTTTTGTGGTACTCCTGCTGTATTTGTTGTTTCTCTATTTGCTGGTTCTGTTGTGGTTGTTTTTGTTGGGTTTGCAATGATTTTTCTTGCAGTTGTAGCTGTTGATTTGATTGTAGAAGTGTTGTTTGATTATTATTATTGGATGCTTTTGAACATAGGACAGCTTGCTGTTGTTGTCGTTCTTGTTGTGATTGTTGCTCGTGATTTGACTCGCCTCCACCTTTTGGTGGAGTTCGATTGACCGGCATTACGATAAATTAAGCAATTACCAAAATAGAATATGAAAATATAGTGAACAGTGAATATATATGAACAGTTTGAGGATGACTGATCTTGTGTTATAAGACTTTTAATATAGTGGTTTGTGTACACACTAAACAAAGAATAGGTTGTATATGCTGTCTCAGCTGAATATTTTAATTTTGTTTAATTGCTATAAACAGCTTTTTTAGTAATAAAGTAAAATATAATAATAGCTGTCTCTATCAGCACTTTTTGTTTTGTTTATATATACACAAAACCGCACTGTTATTTTGTTTGAATGCTTATTCACATTTGATTATAAGCTTTAGAAATTAATCTGCTGTCCCTGTCAGCTGTTTGAGTTTTTTTTTTTAATAAAATTGTGCAAAAAGAAAGAAAGTCAACAAAAATCGAAAAAATCGCATGCTATTTTCAAATTAATATTTTATGCACTTTAAAGTTTTACTAATTGTTTTTTGCCCAAAAATGATCTATTTTTGTGAATTTGTATTAATAACAAAAGTGATATTTAAAAGAGTACTTCTTATTTACTTGTTTTTATACTGTAATTTAAATTTCTTCGAGACCGGTTAAAAAACACGTCCGTTCACTACGAAACTTTGACTACAAAATTTAATGTTTTCACAATATTGTCCGTGAGAACTAATTTTTGATGAAATATGCTATGTCAGCGTTTGCACTATTTGTTGCAATCGCTTAAAATGATTTTATATTTTTATTTTAAGTTAGTCTTAAGATACCATTAATAAAGAAAACATCAAACTGAAGTTTTGTGTATTTTTTATATAAACATAATTGGCGCAGTCGACGGTGGTTTATCTCAAGACAACATAGAACCTTTGAAAAAATCAATTCGGTAGTAATATGCAAAGATTATCTGCATCTAAAAAGTGTACTTTGATAAAAAGTTTTAAAAAATAAACGCTAATAAACTGCAACAACTATTTGTATCTACAAAGAGAATCTTAGAAAAAATCAAATCGGTAATAAAGTGCAAAAATTATCTATATCTAAAAAGTGTACTTTAATAAAAAGCAACAACTAGTTGTATATAAAAGTTAACTTTAATATAAAGCAAATCGCTAATAAAGTGCAACTATTATTTATATCTAAATAGTGTACTTTAAGAGCAACCCCAATAACATACAAAAAAAAACAAAATTAATAAATTTTGAATACGGAGAGTAGAAGCATTCGACTTAAATCGATCAATTATAAACAACGAAATGGAGCAATTACAGCAAAGACTCCAGGAATTGGAAGAAGTTATAAAGAGGCAAGAAGCTAAAATTCTGCTTCACGAACAAGTACAACAGCAAATTCAACAAGTACAACACCAACAAGTACAACAGCAAATACAACAAAATATGCAGCAATATCAAGGGTTTCTAGCACCAATAGATATTTTGACGCAATTCCGCCAAATAAAATGCCTCAACAAGGATCATGATGCCATGATCGCATCAGCAGAAGCTGTCATGGACCTATGCCCACCAGACAACAATTAATGAAGATGGCAATGACCATTATAATCAACGAAAAAATAACAGGTGATGCTGGCAACTATATTCGGGGACTTGGACCAAATACAACCTAGGATCAAGTTAAAATGAAGCTAATGGACTATTACCGACCGAGGGCAACATATGGCGATATATACAATAAATGTCGCAATATTAAAGTAGAATAGAATAGAAATAAACAGGGTACTAGCTCCCACCGGAGCAGAGCACTGCGACCAGATTGATCTTTTGTGCCGTAACTGACCCTAATTGAACAGAAGACATTCCGCTTTCCGAATGAAGGCCAGAATGTCGTCCGTTGAGGACCTCCTAATTTCAGAAGGAGAGAGCAGCTCTCCTCCCAGTGATTTCCTCCTTGCCCAGATCAAGGCTGGGCAGTCACAGAGAATGTGGCTCGTAGTTTCGTCTGCTTCTAAGCAGAGTCGACACTCCATCTCTTCGGACAGACCTATTTTGTTAAGGTGATAACGCAGTCCATGGTGACCCGTTAAATATCCCACCAGCAACCTCAAATCTGAAATATTAAAGTAAGTAATTTAAAAGATTTATTTTCTTATTTTGAAATGGCGAGGTCAAAACTTAATAAAATATATACATTCAATGATAATAAGTCAGACATTTATGAGCCAAGTAGAGTAGATAGGGACTTAGTAAACATTTTACTTGAAAAAATTGACATACCCTTAAAAACATATATTGATCAAAACAGTACACTCAACGATGTTATTAGGAAGTATACGCAAATTAAAGCGCTAGACGATCCAAGAACGATTCACTTTAATTATAGACTGAAAAGACCATTACAACCACAATACTATAACAAACGAAATAACCAGACACCATCTGTATCCAATAATCAATATAATTACAGCAGTAATTTCAGGCTGCTGTAATAATAACAACAATAATTTAAATAATAATAATTATTATAATTATTAATTATAAATAATTCAACCATAAAAATAAAAACACGAGCACCGCCGCTTTTTATAAAAATGTAAACAAACATTTACAAACGTCAAAAACGTCAGAATGCAATTCGCTGCAAAAAGATGCACAAGGAAGCTTTTGTGCAAAAGTGTTAAAGTGCATTAAGTTCAACTAAGATCAACTCAAAGCTTTGTTGCTTTACACAAAAAGTTCAAGAGATTGCGTATAAAAGACGGCGCAATTTTCTAAGAATTTAGTGAATCTTGTATGATCACTCAGTGGCATTGTATGTCAACATATAAAATAAATAAATATTAAAAAAATGTCTGACACAGTGGCGGTTTTAAGCCTAGTTGTATAAATTACTAAAATATATATATAATTGTGTACAAGTGCATGGGCGGTTTTAAGTCAAGACACTTGGACACTATTGTATAGATATTCCATAACCGAACAAGGAAATATATTTTTTTATATATATACACTAACCCTTCTATCCCTAACAGGTACGCCGAGAGTGGACAATCATACGAAGGTGCCAACCACGAAAGCAAACTAGAGATCATCGCGAACGTCAAAGAAACAATTACCGGATCCAGCTTGTCACCTGGGAAAGAATCTAAAGTTCATATCTACTTATCTTTAACTAACTTTTGTTTTTTCAAATACGATTATAAAGAAATCTGAATATTTTATTAAAATCCACTTTGAAGTACATAATCAATGCCAAGTTATATCTAATTGCGATTAATTAAATTCATTTTTTTTAATTATCATCTTAATGAAGTAATTTTATTTTAAATAAATCTACATTTAAAATTAAACACACAATCTTTTATTTGAGAAGTCCTGTCTCCGCGAATATAAATTTATTGTAGCGACCCCCTGGAAAAGACTGAGGATACCCCAGCATAAATTATAACGAAACGGGAGAATCTGTGTCGTTACAATTGGCGCCCGAGCAGGGACAGACAGACTTCTCAAAATTAAATCAAAGTAATATCCACGTTACCATGGCACAAGCTAACATGATCAAAAGATAAAATCTAAATACTTTCATCCGGAGTCCAATTCAAGCCAGTTCAACAGAGAAACATACAAGACGTTCGCATAAGCAGCACATCATGGACTTATCGTATGCACAAACCGTGGAGCGGATACGAAAATGGTCTGTAAAGTACAATGGAGGAGTAGATCCAATAGATTTTGTGGAAAGCATAGAAGAGTTATCAGAACTTGACGACGTCAATGTGAATCTAGTTCCCAGGATGATGCCCGTACTGCTTGAAAACAAAGCACTGATGTGGTACCGGAACAACAATAAACAGTGGAACCTCTGGTCAAGCTTCAAGACAGACTTTCTAAAATTTTTTCTTTCATCTAGATATTTCAAACGATTAGAAGACGAGGTGCGAACACGATTGCAAAAGAAGCAAGAAAGTTTTAAAGATTATTTACTAGAAATTAAATATCTTATGCGACACACAGATGAACCAAGATTCGCAATTGGAGCGAATATACCGAAATATGCGCATAGAGTACCAAATGTACATCAGACGTCTAGACTTTTCGAGCTTAACAGAATTAGCAACACTAGCAGATGACTTCGCGCAGAACAGGATAAAGTGAGTCGAGGCAGTGTTCGACAGGAAGTGATAGTTGGTCGCATAGAAGTTGAATATCCACAAATGATGGTATTGGAAAATACAGTGAGACGCATACCTACTACGCCGATACAGGACAAACTTATTCCCAGTTCAAATTCCGATTCACCTATTCTCAACCAGCAGAGAAGTAATCAGCAACGCAACCAGCCGACAGCTAAGCAAGTAACAGCACGAATCATACAAGATCAAGATATATTTCAAAATCAAATGTACCAAGTATTAACTCAGCAGAATATCCAA